AAAACAAATATATATATAACTACTGTAAAAGATCTGAACGATTTAAAGAACAGAATCACTCAAGAAATCAATGCAATTAAAAAAGAAACGTTACATAATGTTTTTTTGGAAATAGAAAAAAGATTAAATTTTTGTATTTCAGTTAAAGGTAATACCTTTGAACAGTACTTTTAAAGTTCGTTCATATCAATAAAAACTTGGTGCATTTGCCTATCATTTGAAAAAAAAATAGTTGATATATTCAAATCAAATAGCAAAGATATATGAAAAATTTAAGTGGAAGGGACTTTTGGGACACCCGGTTTTTCGTTTAACTAGTTTTTTGTTGGAACTTAGGTGAGGATATGAGATCACTAAACCAAATCTTGGACATTTTTAGCTTTAGCAAAAAAAGGGCGTGGGTGTGAATGTTGGTGGACTTGAGTGTGGGTACAGATGTAGAGAAAAGAAACACCCACACCCAAGAAAACATGTGGATAGAGTCAAATGGCAATCTATGCCTTAATTAATTATAGTTTTGCAGAAGGAAATACAAAATACCAGACATGTGCATTTATTTCATAGAGTTAAAAGAACTATTAATTGGAACTAAAACTACTGTAAGCAATGATTGATTATTCAAAATAATGGAATAACTACAAATTGATAGAAAAAAAACAAAGCTACTGAATCATTAATAATTTTGTTGCATTAATTACTTAGGATGAACCAAAAGTTCTGATCACGGAGATGGGAGATAGTCGGCCATCCTCGTGGCCAGAACTTTTGGTCAACAACTCTTATACCACAATATGCAGCGTGAAGCGCTCTACAATTTCCACAAGACCGCTTTCTTTATACTTCCACTTTTTGTTTTCAAAAGCGACAAAATTCTAAGCGACCAATTTTCGACGCTGCAAAAATTCTACACGAATGAGGAATTCCTTTTTTTTTTGAAAACAAAAAGTACATAATTAAAATAAATTGTTCTGTATGAATTGTTGAGCTTTTCACGCTACATCTTGTGGTATAAGAGTTGTTGACCAAAAGTTCTCGTCACGGGAATGGGGGACCGCCTCCCATCTCTGTGATCAGAACTTTTCATACACCCTAAATATTTATGTAGAAGTATTATTGTTCTTGAATATAATTCCACCATGTCTCAAAAAATAATCGCCGTGATTGTTCAGCTTGTATTTCACATGCTTGTGCTTGATATAGAATCTTATCTATATTAATATTTCCATATAACTCTGGTTCATCGCTACGTATTTGTTGTACCCATTCATTAAATTCAGTAAATGATGCTTCCGGATGAAATTGTACACAATATGCTGAACCAAATCGAAAAGCAGCTATATAATTATTTGTTGTATAAGCTAAAATAGTTGCATTCGATGGTAAATCGAACGAATCTCCATGATGCATAATGAATAATGGCTTCTTTTGTTGTTTTTCAAACACTTTTGACAAAATTGGATCACATTTTCCTTCAGATGTAAGTTCATATTGAACATAGCCAACTTCATAACCATATTTTCCTAAATGGCCATGCCCACCGATAACATCAGCAAGTATTTGCGCTCCGAGACATAAACCAAGAATAGGTGTATTAAGAGTAAGTTGAGCAGCAAGAAATGATTTTTCCCATATTAAATATGGATAAATATCATCTTCATATGCACTTTGTGATCCACCAAGACTAAGAATAACTGAATAATCTTTGGTATTATTATCTGGTAATTGCGATTGATAAGCAGAATCGTAAATAGGAAGAATTTCAAATGGAGCATTATGTTCAGAGAAGAATTTGGTTAGGTAAGGAGAACAAATACCTAATGAATGCTGAATAATAAGCACTTTTTTCGACATAATCTTGAATATTATCAAAATATATCACACATACGAAAGATAAAAAATAATGAATACAGGATAAATATCAATAATTCATTCTAAAATGAATATGTACTTGTAAATCTGTCTAAATGAAAATGTTGTAAAACTCTCGAAAGGGTTTTCGTCATATCATTAACCTCTCTAATTTAAGTAGGGTAAGTAGCAATTGGTTTGGTGATAATGGCTGCCCTAAGCAACTAGAAGTTCACAGTAAACGGCCTTCCCGGACTTGGATGACATGATTCTTGAATAATATTCACCGAATATAATAGTTAAGTTCGTTTTATTTGTAAACAAGTAAAAACAAATAACAAAACAATGATAATAATAATAATAAATGAAAACAACAAAAACGGTCATAAAACATACAACAGGTCGACCATAGCCGAAATATCAAAGACACGTCGACGTCGAAGAGAACAAAACAAACTAATGAATCATAGTTATAAGTTTAGCGTCAATGAGTGCCATCTGTTGACGCTAGAAAAATGTAAGTTTATATTTTGGGTGTGGGGTGTACAAGGGAGAAAAAGCAGATTTCGGCATCCAGAATCTACAAAAATCTTTTGAAATCTTTCGAAATCTTTCAAAATCTGTTATGATTTACAATGTGTTTAAGAACTCATAAAACTTTATACTGGAAAAGTATTAATCAATTTTTAAAAACTTCAGTGTAAAAAAGTAAAAATAAATCATAGGAGCATGTTTAAAAAAAAAGGACAGAACTGCTGTAAAAAAACATTTATTTCTATCAGAAATTTACAAAATATTTCTCGAGCTTTCGTACTCTTCTGAGTACATCTTCAGGAGTTACATTATGATCAGAATGAACAGGAATATACAAAAACAACAAAAATATTAAATTAATTGGTCAATAAATTAATGAGTACATAGATATACAAATATTTAATTAATAAATAACCACATCATTTCGAATATTACTGTTGCTATTGGTGTCGTTGTTGTTAATATTGCTGCATTGTTGTGGTTCCTAATGTTAATATGAGGAAGATCAACCGATTAAGGCGGATTTACTCCCACATGACTGACATATGGAATCGACACCAGTAATTGATCTACTGAGGTAATCGAAACCTAATTATCAATTTCTTTATGATTTTCAAGAACCATAATTTTGGATAAGGTATAGATATTCAAATTTAAGTTTGTTTAATGTGAAGAGAGCAACTTTCATCGACGCGTAATTTCCTCTGTTAGTTGAGTACCAACCATACTGTATGAAGATAGATCTGTTTTATTTATCGTCTCAAGATGATGTAGGTAAGATTGTATTAAGTTGAAATCTATTGATATGTTGCAACAATTAAACTTTTTTTTTTTATATTATGTCCAATATTTTAATGTGACTTCATATATCGAGTCATCTTGAATCAATTCATTATTGTATCATCAGTATTAAAATTATGTTAGAAATTATCAGTAACATAAACGCTGTTGTTGTTTAATCAAGAGTAATTAATAAGTTCAATGCTCACACCATTGTATGTAATAACAACGGTTAAACGAATATTAGCCACATATTCAAGTGATTGAGCATTACGAGTTGCTGTACCACACGTACGTTCATAACCAGGTTCATTCAAATAAGGTTCAGGTATAAATATAAGAGATTGGATATAGACAAGAAGTTGTAAAATTGTTGATGTTGCATTCTATTTTTCTTCCAACCTGCTATGCCATGTATTTAATATACTGTTGTTTCTAAATAATTGATGGTGGTGTTGCTGGATATCACTTGGAAAATAAACATCACATATAAAACTTTCATTTGAATATGGTGTATCATCGGGACCTGTTATTCATATTTTCATAATATGCATACGATTTTCAACTGAACGTACAAATAATGTTGAACTAAAAGATAATGGTAATGATGTTGATACAGTTATTTGTTCTTGTGCTAAACGCTTTATTCATCACATTACGTGTACTGTTAATGTATCTCGTATAATTTCTTCATAATGATATTAAAGTTTTTGTTAAATCATATTTTATTATCATTTGTTTCATTTTCAGTTGTTATTGGATATTTACTCAATTGTAATTTCATTGTTTGACAATAAAATTCTTCTATCACCTTATTTTGATCCTGTAATTTTTGTATTTGAATTATTTCCTCAGGCTTCTATTGTAAATGTGTTGAACCTGTACCAAAACTTGTATTTTTATCATGAAAAATTAGAATTTGTAATATTCTTATTCTTATTAATTGGATTTGATTGTTGTACTGTTGTTGTTGATTCTATTTGCTCAATATCATCTTCATAATATTCATCCTCATTATTGTCAACTCTTGTTATATTATTTATTGTTGTTAATGGGATAGATACTGATGTTGATATTAAATCTTTTTGTTTACGATGTGGGTGACATGTTATTGATGATAAATTGAATGTGAAGTTTCATCTAATACATCTTTTTATGAATTTGCATAATTTGGTAAACGAATAACTGTTATGTATAGATAGTTTGGTATTGTCATATTCTTTGGATACTTTGTTAATGATGATGATGATGTTGAAACTAATGATGAAAAATCAAA